AAAGTTGGCCTTGATTTATGACAATTCATGTGAATTTAAATTTATTTTCCTTTAAATGTATTGTTTTCCCCTTTTAACAATAGAACCGTTCAATTTTACGTTCATTCAATTAAGTGAAAAAAATTGCTTTAAAACAATAAATACACTTCCTTTTACAGCGCTAAATATTGCACCATGGAAAACAGTCGGTCCCATTATAAATTATAAGCATACAAAGCGAGAAAACAACTTCTCTTCACCATTTAAAACCATTAGGAAAGTGATAAAACATTTCATTCATATGGCACAAAAACATTTTTTAGGTTTCTTCTTCCATTTGAAAATATTTACAAACATCCTTAAAACAGTCTAAATGCTAGAACTGATGGTCTTTCTGTCTAAAAATGTGGGATTCTTTAGTTTTCATTCTCCACTGCTTATCTTGCATCATACAAAACTAAAAACTTTCGGTATAAGAATGATTAATCACCTTTCAAAAAAAAAGGTTTGTCGTATTGAAATTTTTAACTGGATTGATAAATTTTACATAGTATTTGAGAGGATTTATTGACTTGTGTGCTTCCTATATGCCACAATTTTTAAATGCTGCATCCTTCATTTATCTGAAAATTATTTTCAAAGAAATCGGGCCATCTTTAAAAAAATATTTTCTTGCCCTCTCCCGATTAAGGGCAAAAAAAAAAGAGATGGCATGGTGTCTCCCGACCGACTGAGTAAAAATTTCCCGACTCAAAACTTTTTTTCATATTCCTTGACAGGATATCATTTTCCTTTATTCCTGAAATCCCGTCAAAAAATTTGTTGAACTTTTCTGGATTTAAGGTTTTTCCACCTACCTACTGACCTGATAATTTCAATCCGAGTCTGGAGAGAGCAAGAAAACGTAATTTTGCAAAATGATAAAAAATCCTTTTAAAATTAAAAATTCAAAATATTTGTTGACGAATTGAGGGAATTATGGAATAAAAAGAAAGAATAAATATATCATTTACTCAAGGTTGAAAAAAAATGAGTTGGTCCATTTTAACCAATCGGTCGGGAGAGGGCATGATAACATATTCAAAATGACCTTTTCAACTTTGCCATGGTCATATTCCATATTATATTGCGTAGTATAATCCTGAATCATCTGCATATTGTGTTTTGTGTCTCAATTGATTCGACACTCAGTGGCATAAAAACTTTTAACATGTGCAGGCTACTGGAACAAATGTTTATGTTACAAATGCTACAAGGGGTTAAAGAAATCTCATTTAAATAAGTTGCTCCCAAATTAAATGGTCATTTGAAGGACTCTACAATTTTTTCGATTGGTTGAAATTTGACTGACATATTCTGCCAATGTATTTCTAATATTTTATCTATAATTTACTCCATTTTTCTGATCACTTCTCTTAGGAACCTGGACCCACTTTTTACAAGGGTCATTGTATTCCCTGCTCAGGATTGGAACTCTTCTGATTTATTAAATTAGTCTCGATTCATTATAGTCAACCTTTAACACTGTAACTGAATTCATTTGTTTTTTCTTCTTTGATCAGGGGTATGCTCGTAACTTTGTCGAAAATGGATATGAAAATACGAACTTCCTTGGAATGCTTACAGAAAAAGACCTTAAGCAAATAGGGATCAAGAAAGTTGCTCATCGTAGGAAATTGTTCCGGTTAATCCAGGATATTCCAGAGTTTAAAATACCTATTGGTGTTCCGGTTTGTTTTTGTATAATATTTTATACCTCAGTAATACAAATCTTGTGAATATGAAAAAAAAAATCTGATTGATAAAGGACATGCGCAACGTACATGTACAGAAATTTTATATATGTTGTATCTTTCCCAGTGATAATTAATTTTGTTTGATATATTCAATTTTTAATCAGGGAACCACAAGATGACTTTACAAAAAAAAAAAAAAAAAAAAAAAAAAATCGGCATAAATTATCAGGAGTTTTGACCAGGTTAAACATGATGAAAACACTAGTATTTTTACAGAAAAAAAAATATTTACATAGAGTTTTTGTTAGTATTTCCCCAAAGTTTGATCTGGAGGTGAACAGTATTACATGTACCAGGCATCATAACATCACAAAAAGGTGATTCAATAATTGTAAATTAAAAATTAAACGAGAAAAAATACTTAAAAACTACTGAATATGTTGAGTATGTTCTTAATATATAACAAGCACTTTCAGTATAATTTTTATTTCATAAGATAAAAATAAATACTTTTTTTCAGAACGATGTACATTCTTGGCTAAGCGGGATTGGTTTACTTCAATATGAACAGAACTTCAATAGAAATCAAATCAAAACAGTCCAAGATATGGAAGTGTTGAAGACCATCACAAAGAAAGAAATAAAGGAGGATCTCAAAATTATCAAATCAGGTAGAGTTATATATAGAGGTATACCCAACAAACTACAGAGTGATTCTTTAATTATACATTTATGTACTATATTATTCTTACAATATGAAGTTTTTCTATCAATATATATTTCAAAATGGTTTATTTATTTGATATTAATTCAGGTCATATACAGCGTCTTCTTGATGCCATTGCATGCCTTCGTCAGCCAGCCAAAGGTTAAAACATATACATTGTAATTACAAAAGTTCTGTCCTAAATATCTTTCATAAAGACCTTAGTGGGATGTAATTATCATATCCAAATAAAAGTCTCCTTACATTTTCTTTTCTTTGAATGAAAACAATACAATTTTAACATCTGAAAAGTGGTTCTTTGTTTAATTATTTCAGAGGAGCGGATCATAACAGAAATTAAGAAGCAGATCGGTCAGGTCCACAATCTCAAGGATTTGGGAAGCGTGAATCGGGAGGAGAACAAGTTCTGGGTGGATCTCATTAAGACTTGTTTAGCGCCCTCGGCAGATGTATTCAGTTTGGAGCAAACTCTCAAAAGTAAATAGGATATGAAGAGTGAAAAGTGTAAAAATTTCACGTCATCATTTTTGTCTCTTGGAAATAAACAAACTGTAACAATCTAATAAACACACACACATATGCACACAGGGGCGATGTTATGTCCCAATTTATGTTATTTATGAGATAGATGGATCACTGTTCCTTATCTTCACATTTTATATTTGCAAGAAGGATATGGAGATAACGAACAGTATTCAATCTCAACATCCATTAAATAATATACAAAATAAGAGCAGAGCAAACACGGACCTCCGAAACATCAGAGGTGGGATCAGGTGCCATGGAGGAGTGAGCATCCCCTGCCGACCGGTCACACCCGCCGTGTGCTCGTTGTCATGATCAGGAAATAACGGAAAAAATCCTTCGTCAATTCAGTGTATAAATAATGGACTAACAATTGGTATGAAAAACGTCAGTCAGCATTTGACTCAATGATAAATTGTATTTGCTGACAAGGTCATTGTATCGACCATAGAATTTACGAAATGATGACTTTAAACGAGACTGTTGATATTCTTGTTTCATCAACTTGCTTGTCAATAATTTACCTCGTTTAAGAAATTGTTCATACGTAGAGCACGCTCTTGCGTATCGAATCAACTGAGATGTATATACTCCGTATGCAGGTGATGAAGGTATATTGCTGCATAAGTAAGGGAAGTTGACGATAGAAAAGTTAAAGTCATCACGTTTATCACATAGCTTGGTTGTTAGATTACCATTAGTGTCTTTTTCAAGTAAAATATCCAAGTATGAAGCAGAAGTGTCGGACTCTGTGGTATCTTTTATCTCAAGCTCACCAGGATATATCGTATCGACGTAGGAATGGAAATTATCATTATTAATTGACAATACGTCGTCGATATATCTAAATGTCGAGTTGAAGGCCACACAAGTGTTTTCTTCTTTTCACGCGTTGCAAAGGTTTTATTTTTAACAGCCTTTTATTGCCACGAATTAAGTAAGTAATAAAACGTTTGGTTTTTGTAGAAAATTTAAGGACCTTACGTAACGAATGGTTGATGGTATCAGGAATAGTCAACTGTTTGTGGATTGTGATTATAATGACGTTATCCAGCAGTATCGACTTAAATGTGGCTGGGACAAATATACTCAGTAAGTAAACAATTTAAGCCCATGTTCTGTTAGTGTCAATCTGTAAGTGGCCCGGGCAACTCCATCCACTAAGTATATAAAATTTCCACAATTAACAATTATACATTTTCATCCAGTAAGTAAATAAGGTCATAAGTATAAAAATAAAATCCGGTGCAACTCGGGTAACTTCATCGAGTAAGAAAATATATATAAGTCCAAAAGTTAGAGGCTTCGAGGACAATTCCATCCTGTATTAAATAAGTCCATAAGTTACATGTCCTAGACAATTCCATCCAGCAAGTATATACACAGTGAGTAAAAAAAATCTTTTCGTGGGAACAATGATACTAGTAGTCCATAGGTAACGATATTAAAGGACATATCTCTGCAAATAAGTTGTAGCTGATATACAGGGCCTACGGAAAATTATAAAAATGAATGCTTTATAATGATAAATTTTCTGTGCTTTATTATTATAATACAAATAGGTGCACGGACTATTAAGTTACTGTGTTCAATTTTCTTCTTTTGTAGGTTTATTGTTCCTAATCGTATTTGGATTTCTGTTTGTTCTTCAATTTATCTGCATGTTGTTACACAGATTTACAACACTCTCTCACTTTATTGCGCGTGCGCCATATCGATTTGGCCAGAATTATCGAACATCTTTTGCTTTTCTGTCACGTGACCTGGAACCGGATGCGAACCACCTGGACCGGAAGCCGAGTCTTGATGACCACTACGAGGCTTCTGAGAACACCTCCTTATTATCAGATCATGGTAATGATGTGTATCAACGACGTCTTCATGCTCGGCCGTATCAATCCGTGTGAATGATGATTTGAATAATTTCTAATCACAAAATCTGTTCAACCTGTGCATGATGACTTCATGAATTTAACTTTATGGCCCTTATACATGTACCATAATTCACATGTAAATTTTAGGCATGTTTCATAAACAATGCTTATTTAAGGAATGACTGTCTAGTTAGTATAGTATACCATGGCATTGATAGTGGGAAACATGGTATAATTTGCAAAACGGGCGAATCCCATTTTGCATAAATTATCCAATGTTTCCTACTATCATTGATATCCCTGAAATACTATACTAACTAGACAGCGATTCCTTATATTTCCATTTCGTTGTGAGATAAATTTGTAGATTTTGATTTTAAAAATGTAGACATTTAAGAAATAAACAACGTTATTTAGTGAACATGGCGTTATGAATAGCAATTGCTCTGCTGGCATATTCCATGATGCGCGCTAGCGCATCATGGAAAATATGCCAGCAGAGCTATTGCTATTCATTACGCCATGTTCACTAAATAATCGTTGTTTATTACTTATATTTGCATTCTTTCATGTTGACAAGAATATCAGAGGAAATCCTGACTTACATAAGGACGCAGCTTCTTCTGTCTTCAGTAAAGAAAACCATACGGCTTTAAAATCAATACACCTGATCAATACTCCTTTTCTCTGATAAATCACAATTTATAAAGTATTTCCCTCTCAAACACAGTTATCTGGATACAAGCAGCGCCGTCATCAAATTCTCTTAATTTTTGTTTTGATGCAGTCGTGACGTCATCGATCAACGTTATTGAAATCCTCTGACAAAAATCAATAATTTAACACTATGACAAAAATGAGAATGCTTTTATTATGATTATTACTCCAGTATGCTTTTCTGTGATTTGTTTGGTACTTTTTCTATCTATTTTTTCTTGAAATAGATATAGATCTACTAGTTAAAGAAATGTTCTCTTACCCAAGTTTAAAGAGTTATCGTTCTTTGTACAAGTATGCATCATACGAAAAAATAAAAATATGGAGTATTATTCAATTTTTTAAAAGTTTTATTTTACAATTAAATACTTTGACCAAAATCAAATTTTTAAAGATATCAAACGGCAATTTCAAATTGTTCTGAATTCTTTTTTTCCAAAAAATATTATTAAAAACTTATATTTAGTCCTTTTACGAAACATTTCATATATATACTTCTCAATACGGTGTGTAAGTGTAGTGGAGCTTGTTCTACACGAGTGAGATAGAGCACTTGCAGTCATAGTGGAAGCAGTTGCGTCTATAGTCCTATGAACGCAGTTGATGGCTACATGTTCATAGTGGGAGAGAGCAGTGGATATGCAAATATAGATTTTAAAAAATTACACGAGGACTCTAACGCCAACTTTAATAGTCCTCGCCCACTGACTTCAAACACGAAGGCAGCCGCATGAGATTTACATGGAGATTTGGTCTTATTAGTATCAGACACAGAGACAGATGTGCACAAGATTTCCATGCATATTACGCCTCCTTAGCTCCTGACCTATCGACCTGCCTAATTTACATTCTGGTAGAATCATCAAGGTATTAACTCCGCTAACTTTCAAAGAGTTATGACTGAGAAAAAAAATGAGAAATGGTAATATATCTTTTTTATACTGTTGTGTCATATTGTATACTGAAAGGAAAAAGAAACGTAAGAAAACTTTTATATTAAATGAAAACTATTAATTTCGAAAATGTTTTCCAGTATTGTTATCACACATTTAAATTCATCTTTAATCAACAAGTTACCAAAATTTCGTGTGACTTTGACTTATAATTCCTGAGTTGTAGAAACTGGTATGTCGATACCCCCTGAAAATAAATGAAAATTCTCATCTTCTCCCTTGCACATTGGTATCAGCCTTGATTTCCTTGTGCATTGAGTTGACCAGAGCATACCGGGGGTATATCTTTTGCATAGGATTATTATTCAACCCTTCCGAAGATAGTCTTAATGGTTGAGAGTAGCTGTATTATTTCAAAGCCAACAAATTCCCCCGCCAAATGAATCCTACAAATTTTCGTTTTAAGATAGAATTTACAGAATTCAGCTGGTTTGGTACACATGAATGTTTGTAGAAAAGTCTCGACAAACACTGGCTACAATTTCCTAGTGTGAACATGCTAAAAACATTACGCATACGATGTGTATGTGAGCCTGTGAGAATACAATCGACCTAAAATTGCCAAGCTCGCCGACCAAATAAGAGCAAAGAGTTTCTGTCAATTTTATGGTGGAAAATATGGATATAATAGTCTGCTGTATAAATATCGGTTTCAGTGAAAATGCCTTGACAATAACCGAAGTGGCATGATGAAAAGCCCTATCTCGATGTGACGTTGTTACGCGCCAAAGTCACCGCCATTGTTGGTTGGAAACATTTTAAGTTACTCTCTGACAACTGAAAAAAAAGTTTTTTGTTTAAAAGTTTAAAACAAACTGCGCAACAACATGTTGTTGCCTTTTTTTCAATTACGCAGTTCAATTACTGGACCTAGTGTAACTTCCGTCAGCCATACCATGATTGCAAAAAATTTTAAACTGACTGCAACTGCGGAAAGCGATGTCTATAACTCTAATGCATTGTATGGCACTACAAAACATGATCATTTAATTGTCATCATCAACATACACACGTTTTAGCACTTCCCCCAGTAATTTGTAGTGTTTGTTGCTCTACTTTTGAAATTTGTCCAAAATTTCCCTCTCTTTATATAAAAAATTGATTGTTCAAGAGGAAAAAACTCTTGATGCAGAAGTAATAGAACCTAGAAAAAAAAAATAGATTGTTCAAGAGTTATGCACTTGTGATTCGCAATATAATGTAATAGAAACTTTAAAAAACAGATGTGTAAGAGGGATGTACTCTTATGCTTATTAAAAACATACTTCAATATTTTGGCACCGTTAACGGTAGCTTAGTGGAAGAGCGTTCGCTTCGTAATCGGAAGGCCCGGGTTCGATTCTCGTTCGCGGCCCCGCGTCAAACCTAAGACGTAAAAATAGGTAGTGAGTGTTCCTTCGCCACGCGCTCGGCATCAGAAGTGAAAGTCACCGGTCTTTCGGATATGACCTTAAAAACGTAGGTCCCGTGTCACGGTAGGCGCTGGCACGATAAAGAACCCTCACTGCTCAATGGCCCTGAGTGCCGAGTATAGGTCTAAATTTGAAGCCCTTCACTGGCATACGGTGACGTCTCCATATGAGTGAAAAATTGTCGAGAGGGACGTTAAACAATATACAATCAATCAATCAATATTTTGGCTGTCTCATGTACTTCAAAAATATTGTAGTTCATATCAATACATTTAACATCCCTTTTATATTTTCCCTTGTATTCTCTTGTATATCAGACTGCTGAGGATGAAATTAAAAACATACAAAAATAGGAGTTTTTGAAAAGTATAAGGATTTGATAGATATCTCTATTTATGTAAAATAAATTTAAAAAAGCGAGGAATCCACGCAGGAAAAAAGTGCCAACAATTTAAAAAGATGAAAACATAAATCTAATTTTAATTAAAAAAAAAAAAATCGAAAATTTAAACCAGAACACCAATTTTAACGCCTTTGAATTTGAAAAATAACGATCATACCTGCGCAATGTTAATGTCTTTATCTATGTTTTCATTGCCTAAACAGGCAGGTTAAAAGTTTTTTCATAAAGAAAAGAAATTTTATTTAGTAGTTTGCGTTTATAAAAAAAAAAATTCAATCTAAATTGATCTATTTTTTTTTCAAATGTGTATTCCTTGTTTATTCTATTCATTTGAAAGATTACAAATAAAACATCTCCAACGTAATATTAGAAAACAATACTAGTATACACAAGTTAAATTCATCCAAAGCATCAAATCGGCCGATTAAAAAAATTAGCATTTAAAAAAAAATTACTTTCACAATTTTAAAAGCATCCATGCAAGGAAGGCACAAGGTATTCAAAGCTGAAATAGTGAATTTTTATTTCAGGCCGTCTTCAAAGCAAAATAAATAATTTTTTTTAAAATTAAATGCAAAAATTTTAGTGCAATCGCTCATCCAATTTATTTATCGAGGTAAAAAAGTCAATGATAAATATGAGAAATTATTGTGATCAAAATGGATGTACAAATGCAAAATGTTAGTGCAATTGCTCATCCAGTTGCTTTATCGAGGTAAAAAAGTCGATGATAAATATGAGAAATTATTGTGATCAAAATGGATGTACATGTAGGCCCCTCAAGATTAACCACGTGCTGATATCCTGCATGGATTGTTGTCACGTGATTACTTCTATACGGTTTCTGTAGAGTTGGCTATGCTGCATGGCGCGGTGCAAAATGTAGAAAAATAACCTTTGTGTCATTCGCAGCTGTAGCATATTCAAACAATTTTATACTAGTTTAACATATTTTCAATTTTTTATTCACCATGCATTTCTACCACATCATATTATACGGAAAATCATGACGATTTCTTTTCGTATCTTCCATACTCCCAGGATGGGACTTTTTACTTCAACTCTAAATTATTAATTATCTGATGCAAAATGATAATTAAAATGAAAGATAATAACAACGATTATACTTAGTTTAATGCAAATTTAAAAAATATTTTATTCATGATTTTATGCATGTTACCATTCAAGAATCATTTTACTGAACTAAGGAAATAATAACATCTTATTTCCCCATGTGTACTTTCTAACACAAGCACAAATAGATCGGCCGATAATGACAGTTATGCATTTCCTCTAACTTACATTCCTGATACATATCACATATTTAGGAAACAGTAGTTTTTAGTTTCGATCCGAGGCGTTTGATGGATTAAGTGTATATGTACAAGTAGTTTCTACGTTTTCGGTAATCGTAAAGAGCTACTGCATTTTTTTTTCTATGAAAACTATGAAAATAATGCAAACTTTCATCAGTTACAATTACCAGGTACGTGTTTTAACAAAAATAAAAAAGGTAATTTAGCGGTTGAATTTGGATGGAATGTGTAAAATTCCAACGCCCTAACCATTAGGGTATTCAGAGAAAAAAAATACGAATATCTAGAAACCTTTTGGGATGTTTTGTAACAAATTATATATATCGTATTCTAACAACCACCTCTACGAGTATTGCATTAGAAATACTAATTCCCTACCGTCAAATGTATTCTGGTTACTACTAAAAATCGAACTAAATAACTACCAGCGACGTATATTTCATTCAGTCAAAAAGGCTATAGCCTACACATCATTTTCTAAAGAATAAAAATTTGGTTGAATAAAGGACCGGGTAGATAATAAATTACCTACTAATTTATTTTGTTACAACTGCCAGAAAAACATTCTTAGGAATCAGCATTTCCGATTATGTTTACAGTTTTGCTTTAATGACAAAACTATTTTTTAAGCTTGACATTTTTTAAGCCACAGATCAAGTGCAATTATATTTTGTTTGTATAGGAAAATTTAGTCAAAACAACAGGAGCAAATAATATGTGCAGGAAACGAAATTGATAACTTGATTTTTTATACTTGGTTACTGTAGTAGGAAATTCAACGTTTTTATCGAATTTTGATTATTCAGTATGGAAGTTTCTCACATTTTGTCTGAAAATTCTCGTGGGAAGTCTATTTTAAGGTCTTTCAAACCTCGCACTGTCATCAATTCTCACATTTTACTTCATGGTGTAATTCTCGTAAGAACGGAAAGACAGACAGACAGACAGCTAGACAGAAAGACAGAAGTACTGACTCAGAGGAAACCTACAGTCCCCTCTGGTTTCAGCGGTAGGGGACTAATAGAATCTCTCATTATCATAATCAAATCAAAAAAGAAAATTATATAATACTGTAAAATTGGAAAAATCTATTTTTGAATTTCGCAAATGGTCCGTTAAATTACAGAAAGTGAATTTTCAAATTTTATCTCGGATGAGTTTACAGTGTACGAGGGTTGTCCAAAAAGTTCGTGGACAATGACTTTTTTCAAAATAAATGGTTCTATATGCATCTATTGTATATCAAGTCGGTCAGCATTTGACTCGGTGATAAATTGTATTTGCTGTAAGAGACGAAATATTTGTTGAAACAAAACAAAATTATTGAAACATATTTAGTGTATTGATTGGAGATTGGTATATACGATTTTTCAACGTTGTGTACAAAATTGAAGACAATACAAAAATTTAAAAACACATATTATTTACTGAAAATGGAGATTTCTATTCATGACGTTGTTAAAAATCTAGCGCAGCGTCGGACTGGACTGTTCATTAAGATGACACTCGTAAATTTTTGTGCATCCGAATTTTTAAAATTAAAAAAAATTATAATATATTCTTAAAGATTATTGTTAGCACTTTGAATTGCATTGCGCCTTAAAAATGTATTGTGTGTCCATGAACATGTGTGAAGTCAAAATCCAATTGTTTGACGTTATAATGAAATTAGCTTATCGTCAAACTGGTTTGTGCGCACAATCTGTGATCTTTAGAACCCCGATTTTTACAAAAATATTAAGTTTTATCATTAAAAATTAAATCATTCTGACTTGGTTTTTCATTAGAAATATTTTGATATACAATAGATGCATATAGAACCATTTATTTTCACAAAAATGTCAATGTCCACGAACTTTTCGGACAACCCTCGTATTGTTCTTGCAAAATTCATTAAAAAATCCACACAAGTACACTTTGTGAAATCACGTGAGCAAAAATAAAGTATAGGAAAAATAAATCTAAGAAACGGTAAAATCACCATTATGTCTTCTTTAAAAACAGATGACCTTAAGTTATGAAAATCACATGACAAAAACGTACTATCCAATGGCAATGGCAGGCGGAAGACAGAACATCTACAGTGTTTATAAAAAGCTTGTTTTATTCCTGTGTCGGGAAGCTTCGTTATTTTGTCATTAACTGCTTCGAAGTTGGTGTCATATAGGTATAGTAAAGTTTGTTTTAATGTTACATTTGATCATAATGACCATCACATTCTTTTCTTTTTTTTATTACTTTCTGTAATATGTATATATTTTTTTTGTTTTAATAATATAATTAACGACGCAATTTTCAGAGGAGCATGATACTCTAGTTATGTTAAATTTATTTTTAGCCGCAAAAACCATATCAATTTATTTGTTGTTTCTCTCACAGAACAAGATACTTGAAAAATGAACACAGTTTCAAATGAATTTTTAAACCAATTTTAATGCTTACAATTCCTAACTAAGGCATCATCTCATGATCAGCAAAAATTTGAACATCATTTATTGATTAACAAACTAGATACAGAACAAAAAGTTCTTAAAAATGTAAACAAGGGTCGTGCCTTTTTTTTTCGTTTACGCGGGTAAGTTAAGGAAGCATATGTCATTTCTCGGGAAACTTAGACTTTTTGAAGAAAATTAAATTTGATAATTTACAAGAACAGCCGATAAACGTAAACTATTATTTATTACTCAAAGAGTGTCTTACGCAAGGACGTGCACCACCACCAGGGCATCACGAATCACTTCTATTGATAGCGAAAATTTCATTAATAAAACAGCTAACTGAACAAAATACCCCGCAATATAATAATTGTTTTGAGTAAATAATATAGTTAAAAACATCTTTTTTGTTTGAGTGAAAAATTTTCGAGAGGGACGTTAAACAACATACAATCAATCAATCTTTTTTGTTTGAAAATTGCTGCTAGCATCCCCCTCTCCTGCCAGTTAAACAATTATTCCACATATACGCTCGCAACCTTGCCCGATGTTTTGAAATTTATACATATGAACCGATATATTTCGTAAAACCATGCTTAAGTCGGGATTCTAGCAGCACTTTTCAAGAAGAGGCAAACTTTCCATCGGTACAAATCTTTTTTGAAATATCCAGCTTACTATTGTTATGTTGCATTATTTTAGTCAGGAATGACAGAGGAAAGGTTGACCGGGATATGTATGTAGCTGACTGTCTTCGAAAAGGAATATAATCTATGAATATAAATTAACTGAATTCCATATGAATTTCACAAAATATTCACGATATTTGCCCTGAAACTCCATTTTACGTATTTTTGTACATGCCGTCTTAGTCAAATTCTCTTTACACGACTTGCTCAATTCCCAAGTTACTTGCAGACATATGGTGTCAACGGTGGTTGATTTTGATCAAAATGACAGATACCGCATAACAAAATAAAAACATTTTATTAGCCGGGCTTATTGCTCAAAGAGCAATTGCCGGCTTATGTGATCCTGTTCAAGGCAGGATGTTGACCCCATAGTCGCCATTTTAAAGTTACGTGCAAGAATATAGTTCTTATTCTCAACCGCTTTTGAGATAATACAAACGCTAAATAAAGCAACAAAAATAAAACGAAGTTTTATCTATGTAAAATAAACATTAGTAGTAATGACTTTGAAAACTTCATAAGTCAAAGAACGTAGTTCATTAGCGTAAGGATTTTTGATAATCAGTGCTACAGTAGTTCTCTACACATACGAGGTAAAGCAGGAGAGGGAACCAGTCTGGCCTGTTTGTTTACATTCAGCTGCGGTACCAGATTAATTCTGATTCTGACAAAATCGGACCGTGGTATTAGGATTGAAAACTCACTGTCAGTGTCTTATCATTTATATTAATAGTTTTGAAATAATTTTTTCATCAGAATATAAACGTGATTCATGTAAGAAATCCATTCTACTCTGTAAATGAGCCCGGCTCTCTGTACTTCTGAGTACTTTGATTTTTGTTAATGTTTACACGTTTCTATTCATTTTCTAGAGTTAAATTACATTTCTAAATACCAATAGTACGAAAACCTGTGTTTTAAAATTGACGTCATCTCACCTACTATGACATTATAATGTTGCACTGAATTTGTCAAGGTAGAATATTTTGTATTCTTCCTTATTACTCCTGCGTATATATAGAAAATAAAATATTTATAACAAAATGAATTTCAGCAAATCACTAGAAAATATCTAATAGTATTTAACTTCTTTATTGAAATTTTCTGCTTTGAACGAACATATATAAGTATATATTAATCTTTGTAAACAAAACATGACACGGACCCTGTTAACATAACGAAGGTTTGGAGCTCTAATTATGTCTTGTATCTCGACAACTGAAATTAAGATTTTTGATGATCATTAGAAAGACCTTAGTTAATTATTTGTAATAATGGAAATAATAATTTTTTCATTTGAAACTGGGTCTTTGCCTCTTTAAAGCAAAACTGCAAACATAATCGGATAAAGATAAAATGTACGGATGGCTATAAATGCTTTTTGGCATTTGCAAAAAACTAAATGAATTTAAATGTACGATTAATATTAACTACACGCCCCTTTATTCAACCATTTTTTTTATTCCTGTTAAATGAAGTGTAGGCTACAGCCTTTTTGCCTATATACGCCACATGCACCGGATTAGATCTTTAAACAGTGTTATTAGCACTCCATTCTTATCAGACTTCAAGTCTTGTGTTAATTTAAGGGATAATTGTCTACTTCTTCTTTTTCATGATGTGATTAATCGATTGGCTTGCGTGTTGATTTGCATAAACCGCCGGTAAAATTACTCGCAAGCCAATCGATTGATCATCTTCATGAAATCGAAAAATCTGACAGTTATTCCTTATATCTACATGCTCTTGATTCCGCCATTCCACTTTCCACTTTTGTCTCTATTTGTCCCGCCCTTTTGATGAACCCGTACATTAATTCAGAAATAAAGTAAATTAACTATTTGTAATTTTTTCTCAGACAAAGACATTGGAAATGTAAGTATTTATATTTATTCCCATTATTTAAAGATTTATTTCAATTTCATCATTTACTGATACATTACAGAGGTATCCCAGAATGTCTGCACCAGGTGGCGCTTCCCTCCTAGTCATCTTGTTGACCGTCAGTGTTGTTGTGAAAGGTAAAACAAACCTCTTACTTTGTTTGTTTGTTGTTGTTGTTTTATTTTTTGGTGGGGGATGCAATTCTTCGTTCAACCTTATCCATTGTGTGCACAGTCAAAATATAATGAGCCACATTCTGAATTACTACATAAAATATTTGAGAATTTAATGTCTTATCCGACACCTGACTAATTCGTCACACAATGAATTTTGACTTTTATTTATTTCCAGTTTTACTCTCTTGATTGTCATTACACTCTGTAATCCGATACCTTGTCTATTCCGACACAAATTGGACAAATTTCAATGTTTTAGACGTAGGATGTTATAATCGTACAACGGGTAAACTTTTATCTAGCCTCAAGACCATAAACGGAGAACAGACATAAACCAAAATTTCAGGTTATTGCTAAAATGTTGATTATCAAACCAAATTTTTTCCAATGTGTTTGTATAGTGAAATTTATTACAAATGTGGAAGATTTTAAAATCAAGCAATAACACTATTCAAGATGTTGAAAATTTAGTGCCAAGTCTTTTTTTTCTCAGCTTATATTGTTTGGTGAAATCCTAGCAACTTATTTAATAAATGTTACGAATCCGCTTCCGCTTCTAAAACATCTAACAACATCCCATTCGGGGTCACTTCATAACGACCTTTTCATTTGCAAATGATATTGTTCTTTCCGAACTGCTGTCTGGTAGATTGGATGTATTCTACATTATCTTATCTAATTTAAAAGCGGTATCGGATTTGGAACATTTCATTTTAATTATATTTGAAATCTTAGGTCATGGATTTTTAAATACGTTAGAAAATATTGATTACATTTTTTACACAAAATAGGACAGCGACGTGAAAAATATAGAACAAATATTTCAAAACTGTGTTATATATTCATTACATTTCTTAAAACAAAATAAGACAACAGAAGACGTGAAAAATATAGGACAACTATTTCAAAACTGTCTTATATATTGATTACATTTCTTAAAAAAAATAAGACAGCGACGTGAAAAATATAGGACAAATATTTCAAACTGTGTTTTCAATTTTGAAAATAACAATTTGTATATAATCTGTATTTTTAGAAATACCAATTTGTACTTGGTTACGTTATATTAATCATGAAGATCTTGATTTGTGATTGTAGGTCATAGTGGTCCCCATCTTATTATCATTTAATTATAAAAACCAGGAATGGAGTTAATTATTAGTGTTGTCTTTCATTACCCAGTGATAGATGCACAGGGCTGTCAAGATATAACGACATGTGGCACAAACTACGGTCCTGCTCTAGCATCAGCAGGACAAGACAAGGACAAAATATGCAAGTAAGTTCATGTTGTCTCAAGGTGATCTATTTAATATCACATAGAAAAAAAATGTCCCAAGAAATGGTTTTAATCATTGTGTGGATTAAGTTGCTGTTGTTGGTAAATTCGTGGAAATTGGATAATGTGCAAGTAACTCTCAACTGAGATAGTTCTAGTATGATTTCCGGTACTGACTGGAGTTAACGTTTACAGGAAAGAGGAAATATAAACCTCGACAAGGAAATACTGATATCGCAGAAAGTTAAACTTTATTTAGCTTTTTTGACCATTAAACTGACGTGTAACTCGTTAAGCCAGTCATCTTTCCTTTTTAAAACATGTGCTCTTAGAAATGTCAAACTGATTTCTCTGAGAGCCACTGAAAAGAAATATGGTGGTGAGACTAATGAAATAAAAGATGCCCCCAGAAAGGCATTGTCTTAGACAGAATGTTCTACAATATTAACAGGTCTTTAGCTCACCTGAGCTAAAAGTTTAAGTGAACTTTTCTGATTACATTTTGTCTATAATCCGTCTGTCTGTAAATTTTCAGTATTTTCCACTTCTTCTTGAGAACCACTGGGCAATTTCAAACTTGCCTCAAAGCATCCTTGGGTAAAGGGGGTTCAAGTTTGCTCAAATGAAGGACTCCGCCCTCTTTTAAGGGGCCATAATTAAGAATTAGTAAAAAAAATTATCGGCGTGTTTGATAAATCTCCACATGAACCTCTAGTTTGGGAAAGATGATACTAATGTGAAAGCATCCTCAGTTAGTGTAGATTCACGTTTGTTCAAAGCATGACCCCCAGGGGTAGGTTGGGGCAACAATGTAAATCAAAGTTGTTCTTTAAAGGAATATATAGGAGAAATCTTTAAACAATCTTCTTCTGAACAACATAGTCATGATTGGTAATATTTATACACCATCACGCCCCTCTGAACAGACCGTGTGTATCAGCGAACTAGGTTGAACCGTGGTCTCCTCTTCTTATGACAGAAAGGGATCTGAACGAAGAAAGATAAAGATATAATGAACAGAATTCAATATTAAAGTCCATAAAACAATACAAAAAGGAGCAGAGCAAACACGGACCTCCGATACATCAGAGGTGGGATCAGGTGCCATTGAGGAGTGAGCAGTGAGCATCACCTTCTACATCTGCATGATCGATTCTCTTTTTTTACTATCTATGCTATAGGGCCGCCAATGTCTACCTGACTTGTCTAGAAGCCGCCGCAAAGAAATGTAGTGTTGATGTCGACAACACAGTGGAACCCGCGAGAAAGGCCTTGTCGCAGGCAGGGTGTTGTGAGTATCATTCGATTTTTCATTAACAATTTAAATCTCTAAACAAAAATGATAAAGTTTAACATATGCATTTTGTCATTTTTTCAAAAAACAAAATAAAAATTCTTTAAAAACCAATTTTAGTAAATAAAAAACAATAGCTCATGTTCAGTAAATTGATCATTGTTTTTAAAATTAATTATACAGCTATTATTTAATAATTTTGTCAATGATATGTTTTTTCAATTTATTTTTAGCTGGTTCCGGTGCACCTGTCCTTAGTTTCGTTGCCAAGGTGTTGGGAGTTGTCATTTCCGGATCATTTTAAACTGATAAAAATAAAGGAAACAAAGCTAAAAAAAAAATCAGATCGCTTGTTCAAATGAAAGACTAGCTTATAAGAAAAATCAAAAAAGATTTTTTTTTTAGCCTAAATGCCTTTATTTAAACTGTTTGTACGAAAGTTAAGAGTCCTGAGTGTTTGAGTGAATACCTTTTTCATTAAAAAAAAAAAAACTGTTAATATTTTTGTGTACTTTCAATAACTGTAAATCTGAAGGATGAGACAAGGAAGACTTTACTAGTCTGATTTTCTTTTTTTTATTTTGCTGTCAAAGTATAAATACCATTAAACACTTTTCAAACTTTTGTCTTAAGTTTCTTTTCGATGATGCAAATAACAGTTTAGGAAGCTCTAAACACTGATAAAAGTGGGGGTTTTTTTTAATTTGGAGAAAAATATATCATATCAAGGTATAGATATTTAGACTATTTGGTTCATTTTCAACATATGCTACCTGTATTATATAGACAGTAAAATGTTCAAAGACAATGGACTGTTTGTGAACAGGAATCACTGTTGTTTACTGACATTGGGTAATTTAATTGAGATAATGAATACAATTACTTCTTCTTGGCTTAGTATAATGTTTTGCATTTTAATTCAACATAATTTGCGTAATTAATTGTTAACAACTTCTTTTTCTATCCTACATCAAAGGGCAGATCACTCTAACCGCACAAAACTACCATACAAACAGCGCTCTTTGGTGTGCAGTGTTTAGAGCTTCCTTAAGGACCATCCATGGGGTCACAGGTTACCTTTTACCTGCATTAAAGATGGTGTACATGGTAAAACAAAATCTGTACAACGATTTATTACGAAAATCTTAATTTGAAAGTAATTTCACTATGTCAAAACGCTTTTTCTTGTATCGTACGGCTTTATTAAGTCAATTCTGACAGTTTCTGAAAAGAGAATGTCCTCTTCTGTACAACAGATTCATGATCCAACCAATGAACGACCTAGATTCTTAATTCATTCACAATTGATAATGGTAACGATAATGATATTGAATCTAGTACTTCAACAAATATAAAATTATTTTGTGTAACATTTCACGATAAAAATATATATTTATAAATGTCATAACCCCTCGTGAAACCGTAACTTTTGATTTTTTGTATATTGTCTTGATTCTCACGAGATACATGAACATTATAAAGGTGTACAAAAATACATGGTTATCATGCACCTGCTTGTGTGGCTGAGTGAAATGACCAATGAACTTGGTATAGCCGTAACTTTTATACCTTTGAAGGAATGCTTTAATTGATACCAGAATACTAAGACATATTAAAGGTGTAGACAAGGTAACATGGTCATAATGTACGTGAAAATAAGTAAAAGTACGAAAAAGCTTGATTAAGACGCGTAAATAAAGACAGAGATGATATGGAAATTAGTGAAATCACGTGCATACACTCAAACCTGAATATCTTATGCTATTTCTGCTATACATGCACATGTTTGTGCATTATTATACCCGTAAAAACTTTGAACTAGTATAAAGCTATGAAACAAAGTTTCCCCTGATAAATTAAGTTTATAGGAAATATAGCACCAAATACCAGTTATGCCCAACGTATGGGGTGTTGGGAAGATTTATAACGGTGTCTGTTACAATTAGAAATCTTTTGTGTAATAGTAGTGCTCTAAAACATTGCTATCGGAGATGTGTAAATACTAAAACAAAATCAAGAAGATTTAAGTTCAGGGTTTATATAGGGTTACAACAAAGGCAGAGCCACCGAGGAAATATGGCAACATTTAAAAGAAATACGGTGGAAATGGCTTACAGTAGTAGATAAAGTCGTTGGAGGATAAAGTATCGGAAACATATTTTTAACGCTATAAGAACTAAAATCTAAACACCAGCCTTTTGAAAGTTCGGTTGAAATTTGACAGTGGTTCTGTAAAAGAAGTAAAACAAGAGGCCCAAGAGCCACATCGCTCACCTGAGCACTGTGGCTAGGAAAAAGTAGGAATTGGTATATTATTGAAAAGTTCAAATTCAAAAGTAGTCCCATCACCAGTCATGGCTTTGATATTCTTAAGAATATTAATTTTTAAAGAATTTGCCTATATACATCTATGAAAAACTTTGATCAGCCTTTGTGGTCCCGCCCTACCCTTGGGGTCATGATTTCAACGAACTTGAATCTTCACTAGCTGAGGATGCTTCCATATAAATACGATCAATTATGGCTTTGTTATTCTTGAGAAGAAGATTTTGAAAGAATTTTCCTAAATATTTTGTTTCCTGCACTTATTATGAACCCCTATTGCTTTCGATGAGATTTTCTGATACAGGCTTAATACTAATAACACTTGAACTTTGGCTTTAAAAATGTCAGCTATTGAAATAGATTTATCTTAAATATAAAGCAAAACTGTGGCTTAAAAAATTTTAAGCTAAGGAATAGTTTTGTCCTTAAAGGGACATGGACACAGTTTCAGCTGATTTTTTTAAAGCAATTTTAATGCTTACCATTCCTAACAAAGGCATCATTTAATGATCAGCAAAAACTTGAACATCATTCATTGATTTACAAACTACATACAGAACTTAAAGTTCTTAAAAATGTAAACAAGGCTCGTGCCTTGTTTTTGTTTACATATAGAAAATAAAAAATTAAAAAATGAAATTCAGCAAATCACTAGAAAGTGTCTAATTGTATTCAACTTCTTTATTGAAATTTTCTGCTTTAAACGAACATATATTAGTATATTAATCTTTGTAAACAAAACATGACACGGACCCTGTTTACATATCGAAGGTTTGGAGCTCAATTCTGTCTTGTATCTCGACAACTGAAGTTAAGATTTTTAATGATCATTAGAAAAGCCTTAGCTAGATATTTGTAATAATGGAAAAATTTATTTGAAAATATTTATGAAACTGTGTCTATGCCCCTTTAAATAAAAACTGCAAACATAATCGGATAAAGATAAAAAGTACAGATTGCTATGAATGCTTTTCGACATTGCAAAAAAAAAAATAAATTTAAAGGTACGATTAATATTAACTACACGGCCCTTTATTCAACCAAATTTTTATTCCTGATAAAATGGAGTGGAGGCTACAGCCTTTTTGCCTATATACGCCACATGCTCCGGAAAAGATCTTTAAACAGTGTTATTCGCACTCATTCTTATGAAGTATATGAGACTTCAAGTCTTTTGTTAATTTAAGGGATAGTTGTATACTTCTTCTTTTTCATGATGTGATTAATCGATTGGCTTGCGTGATAATTTGCATAAACCGCCGGTAAAATTATTCGCAAGCCAATCGATTGATCATCTTCATGAAATCGAAAAATCTGACAGTTATTCCTTACCTACATGCTCTTGTTTCCGCCATTCCACTTGCTACAAGCCCCGCTTTTTGTCTCTATTTGTCCCGCCCTTTTGATGAACCAGTACATTAATTCAGAAATAAAGTAAATTAACTATTTGTAATTTTATCTCAGACAAAGACATTGAAAATGTAAGTATTTATATTTATTCCCATTATTTAAAGATTTATTTCTTATTCACTATTAAATGATAGATTACATAGGTATACCAGAATGTCTGCACCAGGTGGCGCTTCCCTCCTTGTCGTCTTGTTGATTGTCAGTGTTGTTGTGAAAGGTAAAACAAACATCTTACTTTGTTTGTTTGTTTGTTTTTTTTAATTATTTTTGTTTTATTTTATTTTTTGGGCGGGCGGGGATGAAATTCTTTGTTCAACAACCTTATCCATTGTGTGCACAGTCAAAATAAAATGAGCCACATTCTGAATTGCTACATAAATGATTTGATTATTCAATGTCTAATCCGACACCTGACTAATTCGTCACACAATGAATTCTGACTGTTTTATTTATTTCCAATTTTACTCTACTGGTTGTCATTACACTCTGTAATCCGATACCTTGTCTATTCCGACACAAATTGGACAAATTTCAATGTTTTTAGAAGTAGGATGTTATAATCTTGCAACGAGTAAACTTTTATCTAGCCTCAGGACAATAAACAGAGAACAGGCGTGAACGAAAATTTCAGGTTATTGCTATAAATGTTGATAATCAAACCAATTTTTTTTCCAATGTGTTTGTAAAGAAATTTTATACAAATGTGGAAGATTTAACTCAAACAAATAACTATACCCAAGATGTTGAAAATTGTGTCCCAAATCTTTTTTTTTTTTCAGCTTATTGCCTGGTCATAACAAGTGCCAGAATGAAATCTTAGCAATTAAATTAAAATTAGACGTTAAGAATCCGCTACAGAAACATCTAACAACATCCCATTCGGGGTCACTTCAAAACGACCTTTTCATTAGCCAACGAAATCGTTCTTTCCGAACTCCTGTTTGGTAGGCCTAGCTCGGAGGTATTTTCCATTATCTTTATCTAATGTAAAAGAGGTATCGGATTCGGAACATTTAATTTTACTGAGAAATCCTAGGTCATGAATTTTTAAATACGGTAGAGAATTTTATACAAAATAAGACAGTTGCGTGCCAAATAGGACAAATATTTCAAAACTGTGTATTTCCTCATTCTTTTTTTTATATGAAACATTCAAAATTGATTAAAACATGTTTAAGTTCATTTTTGAAAATAACAATTTATATTTAATCATTATAAGAATATTTATTAAAAATACCAATTTGTACTTGGTTATTATATTCGTGAAGTTTTGGGTTTGTAATTGTAGGTATTGGTGGTCCAAATCTTATTATTATTATTAATACATATTATAAAATAACAAGGATTGAGTGTAATTATTTATGTAGAAAATGTCCTTTATTATCCAGCGATAGAAGCACAGGGTTGTCAAAATATAACGACATGTGCCACAAACTATATTTCCGCTAAATCATCAGCCGGACAAGACAAGGACAAATTATGCAAGTAAGTTCATGTTGTCTCAATTAAGGTGATCTATTTAATATCACAAAGAAAAAAAATGTCCCAAGAAATGGTTTTAGTCATTGTATGGATTAAGTTGCTGTTGTTGATAAATTCGTTGAAATTGGATAATGTGCAAGTAACTCT